GCAACTAGTCCAATACTGTCTGTCGTATCCCAACCGGCATGATGGGCCCTTGTGTTGACGATAGGCCTCGTCGACACTAGATAAAGTAAATATAGTGTGATTGACATGTTACAACATGTTGTTTTTTACTTCCACTGATAGGTTCTTATAATTATAATATGTTTTCACGTGATTTTCTTATTTTGTGAGATTATGAACCGAGACAAATGTTCATACAAAACTTGGTACAAACAGTTATGTAAATCGACAAAACAACAACACTAACGGCAGTTCTGATCATCACAGGTTAAAATCGTCTATTCTGGACGAACCTATAATTCTTATACACTTTAAATTGTGTTTAAAAACCATGAAAGGCTATAAAATGAATAAGGCTCATAACAAAGTAGTATCAATAGTAAAAATAAATTCAAAAGAGCCAAGTTTGCTCACGACTGGGTTACACCAAATATGAAATAGAGAGAGACCTGTTTCAGGTACACATTTCTTAAGCTTATACTTCTATAAACAAAATATTTTTAACGTACTTTATATTACACAATATGATAATGTTCTTTGTTGAAAACGACGAGCATAAAAAACTTCCTTTTTAAACATAAAAACAAAGCTTGTGAAAGAACCGCAATATTTTATGTTAGCTACGAGTAGATACGTCCCACCCAAGCAGCTATGTGTATAAACTGCTTAAACATTGTAATATCAACAGTTCAAAAGTTAGACATCTGGTTCCACTTGTGATGAAAAACAAAGCTAACATTCTGTTCAGTTCTGACTTAGATTGTTATCCTCTAATACACTTATTATATATTTTCAAGTACAGGACCATTTCTTTTTCTTTTTTTTTACTGTATATTGTTTTTCGATCAAACGTTTTATAAAAAATGATGGGATGATGGGTACTGCACACAAAATAACTTGTAAATACTTAAATCAAACAATATATATATACATATATAAGCTATTACCGTGTAAGGCTAGATAGAACTTAAAAAGGGAAACGTTTAGTAATGAAACTATTTATATGCTAAAACACACAACATTTAAAATAATCTTAACTAAAAAATTAAAGTATTTCAATGCGTATATTACCACTACAGCATCAACAATACGATATATTTTTTAATATTTTTATCTGCAACTGAGCCACAAAAGTGTAAGAAAAATCAAACAAACAAAAAAGATGTAAATATGATGAGTATTTAAGTTCGTGTCTGTCGCGTTCTGTATGACGTTACAATATAGGGGTGAAAAACGTGTTCACTTTAAGATCATGACGTGGATGATTCCAAGTTACGAAATTAATTGAACTACGAAAACTAAATGTCATCCACATTTTCAGAAGTTCATTGTTACCAAATAAACAGGAAGAATATAGGCCATACGGAAGATACAGAACGTAGAAGTAAATTTGGTGGTTATTGCAGATGTGACCCCACAGATACCGAGATATTTTTACAAAAACAATATAAACGTCGTGATATGACGTCCCTACGTACATTTATGATATATCTACCTACCTATCTATCTATCTATATATATACACACACACATATATATATATAAATCTTGTCATTGTTACAGACTTGTATTAAATCTGCTGTTCACGATGCATCATAAAATACCCTAATAACATGTTAATAAATATCAATAGCATGCAGTTAACTCACTTTGAAAATTATGACCTTTTTCTATATCCTTATAATTGATTAAAGAAAAAACTTGACCACACTTGAATGCATTCATGGGGTGAGAGAGCGTATATAGAGATTAATAACATATATGAGCTTCTATCGGATTAAGCAACTAAAGATATAAACAAGGGTAAATATAAACATTTTAACCTGTAGCTGTTTTTAAGTTAAATTCGCCTAGTTCCATATTATTAGAAGAGCATGTCATAGCGTCGTGGTTATGGCACTCAAATTGCAACTTTCAGGTTGCGGGTTTACGTCCCGCAACCGAAAATGCTCGTTTTTTAAGCGATGGGAGTGTTACATGTGACGGTTAATCCCACTTCTCGTTGGTACCGGAATAGTCCAAAAGTTGCCGGTGAGTGGTGTTGACTAACTGCCTTCCTTGTAGTCTAACACTTCTAAATTAGGGATGGTTAGCGCAGATACCCGTCGAGTAGCTTTGTGCAAATATATATACATATATTAGGGTTAAACGGCCAGGACATACAGAACTACTGACCAGAGACAAATAATAATCAACCACCAGTACCTGCCGCCCATACAGCCACTCTTAACCGAATAGTGGGACTGACCATCACAATTATATCACCCTCACAACTGAAAGTGCAGAAAATACATACATATTCTTGACAAAGAAACCTATCGGTGAAAACTGTGATACATATACAACAACAAAAAAAAAAATCCGGATCATATTTCACAATACATAAATATAATATCTTCTAAATTTACACCATATATATAATTCAATGGGTCATTGAATTTTATTGCGACAGGAAGGAAAAACAAACAATAAATGAGTGCAATATTCTTGTTGGATTTTAAAGATTATGTAATTTTAATCACGTATACTGTGCTTTAAAAAGTAGATAATCGTTTAATAATAAACATATTACGAGATCCGGCAAAGCAGTGATGTCTATTTCTTAAGACCTCAGAATAATACTGGTCATTAAACTTGTGACAGACAGTTTCCTTAAATTGTATACTTTCATATTAATTAGCATTAACTTGTTTATAGTTAGACTACGTTTTTTTAAAGTTTCTAGTTTTTTTTCTTGCATATTAAATTAATATCCCTATATTTACGTACGTATATCTATAATTTTCACACACCACATTGAGTCAGATATTTAAGTTTACAAGACCCAGTAGTTTCTTGTGGACTTTAATTAATCTGTGCACATGAGCCATTTCATCTTCTGATTCAACAACATAAGCAGAAGATAATGAATACTTTCCAGTGACACATACACTAAACAGACCTTGGCCCTGTGACGGGGCAGACAACCCAAGGTAAGGATTGTACCCACTATTTTTGTTGAGGGGTGGGGGTGTAGTGTGAAGGAAAACAGTCACAAACACCGTGAGTCAGCACATGAGAAAACCCCAGCTGTCATGTTCTTGGCTCTTAGTTCACCCTAAGAAATTTGTGTCACAAACATCTAAATTTGGGCTTTGTCGCTTGCATCACGTCACGAAACAATGATACCGGTTTTCCGGTCTACTCTATAAAGCTCCGTAGAAATCTTATGTGAAGTCGCGTAGCAGACAGTCAAATCCAAAGCAGTTCCACCTTAACTTGAGAAACTCGTTCTGTAACAAATACAAGCGCAAATACAGAGCTGACAGTAAAACATACGAAGAAAGCAAAACAACATGATTGAAGGAGTGAATTATAGATATAAACTAACTGTAAATAGTACCTGAAAATATTACAGAGATAGTTAACTAAAGGCAAACAGTACGAAGTGGTAAACATTCGATAACGCGTATTGATCAAAGAAATATATGGTGGCTCAAAATCAGTTTCCCCAAATCAGTATAGATTCTCTTCGATTGTCATTTGTTACCGACTAGCGTGCAAGTATATATGAACAAAGAACCAACAGGTTTTGGTGCTGTAATTCAAATGGTACCAACACTGCACCACCTGTAAAAATACGAGGAAATTCTAAATATATTCGTTTTTCTTTCGTTGTTATAAGATAATATAAATATGCTGTCTCACATAGCTGCCATAAAGGAAATGTCCTTACTCTAATTATGGTATAAAAACATCAACTCTCATAAATTCAGAATAAGTAATTAGTGCAGGATGTCTAGGGGCAGAATGGCCTCTCGTAATTTCATAGACATACGTACAAGACAATGTTAATTTTTTCTCAACTTATCTCATATAAAGTTATCATATATATGTGTATGTATGTAAATCAGATGTAGCAGAAAATATAATAAATAAAATACCAGTACAAAAATCTGCTATTTTGTCATTAATATATATGTATAAATATATATATATATATATATTGTAAATTAAGCCGTTCAAGACACAAGTATATTTAATATATCAATACACGCATACTTTTTATTACTACATAAAATTCGTAATTAAGTTTTGACTGTATAACTTATAATCTGAGAAACATACGTCCCCAATAATGAGTACAAAATTACGATTTGAAACGTTTTGCAATCTAGTTAAAGTGCAGATTGTGGAATCTTATAAATCATTAAATTTCCATTAGAACATAAAATTGTATGTAACCTTATCGTTCATCTACAAGTTATATAATTCTTGTTTCGATCCAATCAATACTTTTAACTTAAATCTCATTATATTATTTATATAACATTACTTTTTATGTCTTGAAATGGCCAGGAGTTAAGACAGATAGACAGACCACGGCACGACGCTAACTGGCATTCAGTAAATAAATGCAGAATGAAATTTGTCTTAATGTCAAAAATTCTTTGAAATATTTGTGTTAAACACGGGTTCTGTTACCATCTTGAATGAAAAACAAACCTCAAATGAATTGATCAAGCCGTAATGTTTTGAAAGTTATTGGTTTGATTATATTTTATTAAAAATCAAAGCTATGCATTACTCAAAAACTATTTACGTACGAAAATTCTGCCTTAATATCTGATCTAAAAGGCAAACCAATACGATACTATTTAAGGAAATGAGCGAATCAAATAACCGCTAGAATACTAATTATAATATTAATAACTTCTCCATCAACGACCAGACTTCGCTAGAGTGATGATAAGATTAATTCAAAATTAAAATTATTAAATATACACTTTTTATCATTGTGGCTATATTTTCTGTGGAGAATTAAAAAAAAGTAAATAAAACAAGTGGACTATATGCTGTTTGTCTATTGTTGAAATTAATCGCCAACAAGCCACAAACACCTACTGTAAATAATCCGACCTATACACTATACATACAAAACCTAACACATAATAACCGTAATATTTCACTGCACATATAAATGTTAAAAAAACAAAACTTACTGTTTGAGAAGCTAGTATAGTTTCTTGTGGGCTAGGTCCGTCTTGACCCGTAAAAATAGGTGCATTTCGAGCGTTTTTCTTCTGTCCAGATCCTTTCATTGACCTTCCTGAACAAGTACTACGGTTATCTTTCAAAATGTTGGTACTACTTGTTATGCTGGAAGCCTAGACGTAATGTGAAAACCATATATAATGATATTAAACAAACATAAAAAAATGATATTACGTCAAACAAATATTACAAATGAGATCAAAGATTCTGGTTAATGTTACAAATGAAATCAAAGATTCTGGTTTGAAAAAATATATATATACGTATTTAAAAATGTTATGATAGGAAACAATATACACAACATTTTCAAAATAAATTATATAGTAATGTTGCGTCAGTGAGGTCACGTGACTCGTTCTCTCGAACCTTCGGGAATTGTCGGGAGATTACTAGATATAGGGTAGCTGGTATACATATAAGAGGGTGACAACGTGACGGAACAATGTGTGTGTAGACAGTGAGTAATTGATCTGCAGTCAGAGAGTATTATTGAAGTTAAGCACGTTCGTTGTTATAGCGTTTGTTTTAGCGCGATTGTTGAAATTAAGTGTATCGTAAAGTTATATTCGGAAAGAATAAACCAGTTTTATTAAGTAAGGACATGTGTCGTTAAAGTTTCGTCGGAACGAAGTTACGGAAAGTTAATTAACGAACGGAGACGTAACAGTATTAAGTGCGGTAAGGTTTAGCCCTAACTGAACTAAAGCAAAAAACGTACACAAGTTACAGCGTTAATTTATCTCTTTATCGAATATAGGCCGTACTTAATAAAGGATTAACTAATGTTAGGACTAAGACAAGTGGTCTTATAGATTTCAGTGTCTGCGATTAGAATTCTTTTGTATTACCCTAGACATCCTGTACTTAAAGAAGTACTGTTGCAAGAAAGATACTAATTTGGTCGCAAATATTTTGCGGGTCTCTGCTTGTTCTAAATAAGATACAACACTTCAAATTTACCAAAAACAAGTACTGTATATTATCACTTTTACAACAAAAAAAATCCTCTAATACTGACTCTCTTTTAAGTAAAAATACTCCATATTTAATCTCTAAGTGCGGTTCTTATTGTTTTCGTCATTTAAACAACACGATATTGATGACATAAAACAACCAATAACTCTTCAACATATCACGTTGCGTAAATTTATTCTGAATTCGCTAGAATAAACCCTTATTCCTAACATAGGCTGATGAACAACTAAATACGTTATTAGGAGTACAGTTCATAACCAATGCTATGTCTTCTTGATCCTTGCCTAATGTCATATATGTTGTACGCAGCACATTCAGAGTGTATTAAAACACGAACATCTTGATAGCGTGACTTAATTTTCCAGAAACATAAAACAACAACGGGTTGTAGACCATATATTTATTACATAAAGAAATCAACCTATTTATATTAAAAACTATTACTCTGTGAGGAAATGTATGAGAATCACACAAAGTTTCTTTAATCTTAGAAGACATGTTTGTGGATTGACACCACTGTGTAAACATGACACCTCTCAGCGGAATTAACCCTAAGTTTTGTTATATTTCTATACAGACTGTGTATGATATATCTTTCAGTCACAAATCATATTGATAAAATTCGGCATAGTTTTGATGACTAGCGGGGGTGGATGACTAGCCGCCCTTCCCTTCCTAGTC